AATGTGAAAGGTAGGAACGTTCTACGCCAAAAAACGAAATGTATGGACGTTTTTCACAAAACCCGTCATAGGTAGGGACGTTTTGCACCAATTATCCGTAAAGTAATTATAAATTCTATTAAATGTGTAGTTAAAATTAATATTTAATTTTGGCAATTAAATTGTAAGGAAACTTTTGATATTTCTCAAACATGCAAGCACATCTTCCAATTAATTATCAGAATTTTCCAACTATGTGTCACATCAATGATCCCATATTTTCCTACGGTGGTCAAGATACATATCGATTGAAAAGACGTTAGGCTGGTTCCTCCTGTGCTGAAGTTGCTAAGGTAATCAAGCTTCCATTATTCATGCATCTTTTTCCTCATTAATTAATATTTTGGCCATTTTTCTACTCGAGGTATTGCTTTCATGTTAAGACCCTCTTTGGTTTGCTAAAATAGTCGATAAATATATAATACGTCGGCTCAAAGTGATAGTAGCTTCTCCAACCTAACTATCGAAGGGTACTTTAATTTATTTGTGACCTCTGAGATATTTTACTGTTAAGTATAGTCATGATTTTATCAAAGATAATAATTAATTTCATTCACATTTAATGAAATCTATAAAAAAATTTCAACTTTTCAATCATATATTTCATCAACGTTTGTCAAAATATACTGAAAATTTGATTCTTAGCAAAACTACGTAGTGGCTAATATATCTATGTATTTCATAACAAATGTTGCCCCTTTCTCTTTTGTGCTTGGATGGTAAAGGTCTGTACCAGTGGATATCAAAGAACATTGATTTTTTTATCGATTACACATTAAGACCCGTTTGACACAGATTTTTCAAAACTTGTTCTTCTCCAAATACTTTCAACCACACATTCTTCAAAAAATCATCACAAAAATTGTTCTAAAAAAAGTTACATCAAACATTGCCTAAATAAATATTCTTGTCATGATTTCATTAATGATAACGTTGACATACACGAGACATTATTTTTTTTCACAACGTTTTTCTCAATAAAGAGAGAAGAAATGCAAACTTGCGGCTAAATTGATAGGCACATATGTATATTCACTTTCAGTGCGCACGTTTTGTCCAAAATGACGGAGAATTAAATGCTTGTCTCTTAAAACAAAAATGAAAATTCCCATTTTTCCTCTTTTCTTTTAAGACACTGTACTATTATGTCGAAAAATAATTAAAATGTACATGTCGATGTCGATTTCGTGGTGGCATGTTTTATTAATATAATAAAATAAAGTACAACTTAGAACTGGTTGGATTTGATCTACACATATGCTTAATTACGAATAATCATAGAATTAAAATCGAACTTCATGTCATCATGCACCTAATTGGATGCTTGATAGGCTGGTGATCGTTGTTCGAAGCAGCATTTGATCATACCATATTTCAAGGTCAAATAATCCATTGAGTCACCTATTTCCACATTGATACATCCAAAAGCATCCTCAGTGTAATATTGATTAAGGTAAAAATGTCCAAAATTATTTGCTTCTTGAATAGGGTTTTTTCCATATGTACATGGCCGCATCAGCCTATATGTTACAGGGAGACAGCTGTCCCTTGTAATGGCGGACAGCTGTAACGTACAAGGACGGCCAACGTGTTCCTTTACACGTAGGCATAACTTTCTTGAATTTTAGCACACGTCAATTTAATTTATCAGGTCCTGTTTGGTAGGAATTAAAATTTAAGTTAAAATCAGTAATTAATATTAACTATACATCTCGTGGGATCCAAAACTTTTCAACTATAAATTTCATCAACTTTTATCAAAATCTACTAAAGTTTGATTTTAATCTTCACCAAACAGAAGCTAGATATGCAATGAGGAATATTTATTTTAAAATTAAATTGAATTATGCGACTTTTGAGTAGAGGGAAAAAAAGAGAGAGCTAGATGTTTACTCGATATAACGACAATTAATTCTTTCGAACTGGGTCCAAAAATATTGGGCGGGCAAGTAACATGTTCTCGTGTCCCACGTTTTCACAAAAAAATTGAAAGGTCAAAGCAAAGAATTCCATTTTGGATTTTTATTCTGAGAAAATACAAACAAGGTTGGCTTGTCCTTATTGAAAATAAAGACAGGACAGGTCTCTTCAAAACTGTCTCAGGGCACATTTGGCCACGTTTGAGTCCCATTTCTTTTCGTAGAATAGGTTTTGAAATAGTGATTTTATTGAAGAATATATGATTAAAATATAGAGAGAATTTTCTCTGTTACGTAATGTATTTTTAAAAATGAGTTTTGAGAAAAATGGAGTTCAAACATAACTTAATATGAATTTGAAAATTCAAAAATTGAGATTCATAAGTTTTTTTGGAATATGTTTGAATAATTTTTTTAAAATACTTTTATTTGATGAAAAGAGTTTTGGAAGAAGCGAGCATAAGGTAATTTTCTCATAAAATTTTTCTACAAAAAGCATACTCTCTATGAAAGTGACCCTAATTTTGTCATTATTACATCATAATATGAATAAAGACGAAGTGACCCTAATCCTGTCATTACTACTGGTTGGACTCCATTAAAATGTGTTTTAAATAGTGATTTTTTAAAGAATGTGTGATTAAAAAAGAAAAAAATAATAAATTTACGTATAATATTATTTTATTGAAAAATACGTAATAAAAAAGAAGATAAATAAAAATGCAT